CCAAATGTATGGCATGGACTATATAAGGAAACCTCACTCAAAAAACAATACAACACAAAACAACAACAAACCCCACATGATTCCCAACCTACTTTCCTCCTGTTGAGATGCCCCTCTTGAATGCTGAGACTGCTCAACTCCTATTGAGGAGGATGCTTAAGATGATGTTAAGGACCGGAGGCCAATTCTAGTCTGGATCTGGGAACTCCAGCTGTCACTTTTTGAGTGACACTCTGCAGGCTACTCAACTTCTCTAGGCTCTAATAACTGGTGAAGTTGAGGGAAAGATCTTACAATATGAGAGACTGGAACAGACATTTTAACCTGAAAAGGTGTGACTACTCAGATCTGGATGTAGAGCAGAAATGTCTTCCAATTTAACACAGTGAAGACTGGCAAGATGACTTGGCTGGTAAAGGGGCTTGCTGCCAGGCCTCACACCGAGTTCCATCCCTGACACACCTGGTGGACGGAGAGACCCAAAAGCTGTTTTCTGACTTTTACATCATGCATGCCCTGGGGTGTGCACACACACAATAAATAAGTATAATTTTTAAAATTAAAAGTTTAACAAAGTGAGCCCATCATTCAAGGCAAAAAAAAAAAAAAAGAAAAAAGAAAAAAACTGATAATATGTTGCAGTAATAAACTCTTGGACTCTACCATGTGCAGACAGCAATATTAATGAACACAACTTCTTGACACTATGTAACTGAAAAGTGTCAAAATGTTACTGGCCATTCCAGCACACACCTGTAACCAGCACTTTGAGGCAGGAGGATAGAGTTCCTGACAAAAGAGCTACAAAAATAGACTGCCTCAAAACAACAAAGAAAAAGCAAAATCAAAAAATACTGAAATGTGATGGTTTTAGATTCCACATGCCAGCAGAGCTTTACGAGACTATCACCAGAGCACTCAATGGGACAAGGCATTTGCTGCCAATCCTGGCAACCTAAACTTAATCTGCAGCACCTATGTGGTGGTAAAAGGAGACAAAAGCAAGCTGTCCATCCTCTTGACCTCCATCCTAGAGCTGTGCTCACACACACACTCACAATTAATAAATAAAGTTTAAAAATGGTACTTCTTTTAGCAGGGCTATGGTGGTGCACGCCTTTAATCCCAAGAATTGGGAGGCAGAGGCAGGCAGATATCTAAGTTCAGGCTGGCCTGGTCTACAGAGTGAGTTTCAGCACAGGCAGGGCTACACTGAGAAACCCTGCTTTGGGAAAAAAAAATTATTTATTTTATGCATATGGACGTTTTACCTTCATGTCTGTCTGCATACCACATGCATGCTTGGTGCCCGAGGTGGCCAGAAAAGGGCTGTGGATCCCGAGAAAGGAGTTAAAGACAGTTGTAAGCTAGAGGTAAGTGCTCAGAATTAAACCTGAGTCCCCTGGAAGAACAGCCAGTGAGTGCTCTTAACCACTGAGCCATCTCTTCAACCTATTAAGTATCTTAGTAAGTAAACTACCACTTGTCAAATGTTGATAAGTTCAAAAAAGAAAATCCACAAACTATCTGAAAAGGCTATTTATATACACTTGCTTTTTCCAAGCACTTATCTTTGTTGAGGCTGATTTTCTTTATGGCTAAGTTTTGTTTTGTAAGATAATTTTTAATTAAAAAAAGATAACACAAAATGGTTTGTAGTTATTTATCAATTAGTAAGGGTTAGCTTTCTTTCTTCCTCTCTCTTTCTTGACAGTCTCATGTATGTTAAGCTGGCCTAGACCTTGCTATATAGCCCAGAATAGCCTTGAATTTGATGTTCCTATCTACAAGTAATACGTGTAACGCTGTACCAACTTTCAGGCAGTGATGGGGATTGAACCCACGGTTTCATGCATGCTAGGCAAGCACTCTTAGGAATTCAGCTACACCTCCAGCCTAGAATTGATATTGTAATTTTAAAAATTAAGATTTATGTGTGACTTGGTTCATTTTAAAGGCAATCTGAACAGCTAGCTTACAAGTTTGGCCACAGAACACGTATCTGCAAAATGAGATCCAGACCCTTTCCCCCAGAAAAAGAAAGGCAAAGGGAATACCAGAAAATGGCCTAAACACAGTTCCAATATTAATTATTTAATAAAACATGTATAAGGCCGTAAATACGAAGAAAACAATTCTTTCAAGTTACAGTCAGCAAAAGCCAAGGAAACCACCTCCTAAAATAAGTTTTAAAAATAAAATTGCAGTATTTGGAAGGCAGAAGCAGATCTCAGGTTTGAGGCCAGCCTGGGATATACTATAAGCTCCAAGACAACCTAAAACAACAGTCTGAAAAAAGACAAAAGGTATAGCTCAATTGGTAACATGCTTGGCCAGCTACCATGCAAGAAGACCTGGATTCAATCCCTGCATCACATAGATAAGGAGGTGGCTCATACCTATAATCTAAGCACTCTGGAGATAGAGGCAGGAGGACCAGAAGTTCAAAGTCACACTCAGATACTCGGTGAGCTCAAGGCCAGTCTGGGTTAAATGAGACCCTTCCTCCCACCCCACCCCACCCCACCCCAAAAAAGAAAAAGAAAGCCAAAAAGTTTTAGTACTTTGCCTTAACTGGTTACAGTGGCTTATTCCTATAATCCCAGCACTCGGGATCTATTCAAGGCAAGCCTAGGCTACATAATGAATCCCAAAACAGCCTGGACTGCATAGTGAGACCTTGTCTCAAAAATAAATAAAATAAAGAGAAAAAGGAAAAAAGAAAACAAACACCTTACCTAGTAAACTCAAGGCCTTGAGTTCAATTCTCAGAGCCCTGAGGGTAGAGATGGAATAAATTTGATTCTGAGATATCCAAAAAAAGTAACTATAGTTTAAAGAAAAATGGAAAGTGGCTTACACTTAATTAAAAAAAAAAAATTAGCACAAGCATGCCTAAAAAGGGCAACTTGCAAAAGTCAGTTCTCTCCTTCCATCATCTGTATCCTAGGGCTGGAAATCATGTCAGCAAGCTTGGTGGCAATGACTTTACCTGCTGAGCCATCTCTGAAGCCCACCAAACCAAATTTTTATCAAGATTTTCCTAAAAAGTTCAAATCTACTTCTTGAGCTGTGTGTGTGTGTCTGTATGACAGTCAAAATATGTACCCAGGCTGGACTCAGGCTCAGATCATCTTCCTGCCTCAGCCTCTCGAGGGTTGAAATTACAATTGTTATCCACCACCTCAGGCTCACTTCTTGAGCTTAACAGATGAGAACAAGTAACAACAAGGGAAGGCTTGCTTCCTAATTCCTATGCAGAAGCAGCAGCCTGCTTCTGGGGACTCTGGGTAAATGGGGAGAGAGATGGCAAACCAAGGGAGGCCTGCAGAAGCCTAATGCCCCTCAGCCATTCTGCTAGTCAGCTCAATTTTGCAATGTCTTATACTTGAAATTTTCAAACCAAAGGTCTTGAAGGCACAAGGGACAAGCTCCTCTTGATTTCTCATAATTAAATATGAACAAATAAACAAGTGCCCTCAAAACTAATATTCACTTTTTGAGACCCTGGAAATTTTCGATTTAATGACACAGTCAGAAACACTAAAGAAAAAAGGTTTTCCCAAGTGGAGTTCAAAAATGAGAACCACAAAGATGCCAGTATGACTTAAAATAATAATAATAATAATAATAATAATAATAATAATAATGTCAGAGAAATAACCCTAAACATAAGTTAACCAAGTTAGCAGAATCACCAAAATAATAATAACAACAACAATAAAAATAAATAAATCACAGTTCGCATAAGACCCTAGAAAAAAGCCAAGCTCTAAAAACTACCAATAAGCAAGCTTTTCAGCAGCCCCATGTGACTGAAAATGGGAAGCAAGGAGACAATGTTGGGCTCCGTTCATGTGCTCTCAAGTAGACAGGCACTGACTGGAGGTTTTCCACAGAAAAGCCTCCTCTTCAGTACTCCTCTCTGGGTGACCCCCGAGATTTTCAGTAGCTCAATATCCTCAACAACCAAGACAGTTCTAGAAAACAATCCACCTCATCCAAAACCTTCTAGTTACACAACTGGAGAGAAAGGAGGTGTCAAGTTGAGGGAGCCGAGCAGAGACCAAACCAGGGTCAGATGGGAGCAACGTCCCTCTCAGTTTAGTATGCTTTCCACCGCGCCTCCCCACGGGCCAAGAAACCTCCCGACTGTTCTGCGTTCCGCGTGGGGCAGAGCTACGCTAAATTGCTTCACGGGATGAGCCTGGACTTCTCCAGACCAGCTCTGACGCAGGTCATTTCTCCCGGGGTTATCGATGCTTCTGTCCTCTCCTGGGTAGCAATGCACGTCATGTCGCACACCAGTCACTTTGCTGAAAAACAGACTGCTACACTTAATTCACCAATCTCAAAGGCCACCTAGTTCTTCACCTCCACAAGTCATTTTCCAATACCGAAACAAAGAGCTTCGGGCCGCGAAGAAGTCTTCAACTCTTTCTGCGATAAGGGGCACACACACTTGGCTCCTATCTGTGTCAAACTCCCAATTACACAAACGGAACAGCTGCTGGTGCAGACAGCAGTGACTAAACTATTGTTTGTGGCACAATCTTACAGCCCTCTCTGCAACAGGAAACAGCCCGAGGGGAGAACCCAAGTCAAGGGCCCAGCTCCATCCTCAGACAATCGGGAGACTGACTACACAAACAAGCCAACGCGCTCGCCAGCCCTCCGGGCTCCTTCCACTCGGCGGAACTTCCTATAACAACGTCAAGCGGCTGAAATTCGCAGGCCACGCTACCAGGCACCGCGGGAAAGCTTCCCCATTAGAAGCCGGGCCTTCTGTACAAGCCCGTTCCAGCGAAAAGGCCACGTACATCACTTGGGAAAGGAAGCCCCGTTCCCCCGCGACCGAAGCCCGACAGCCGGGGCAGAGCGGCTCACCGGGGTCCACCGGCAGCCGCCCCCGTCGGCCTCCGGGGCCGCGGCGCCACGCGGCAGGACCCCGACCCCGCGGCCCAGGCCCCACCCCGAGGAAGCCGCCGCGCGCCCCTCACCTCATGCTGTAGGCGCCGGCGCCCAGCTCCTGCCCGATGCCGGACAGGCTGGAGTCGAAGTCGTGCACCAGCCCGGACTCGATCACCTCGTCCATACTGAGCACCCAGGCCATCTTCCGGCCTCGCCGCCGCCCCGCGTAGCGCGGCCTCCGGGTCCGGGGAGAAGGCGTCCGAGCTCCGCGGGCGCGTCCTGAGGGAGGACGCGGGTGAAGCCTCCGGCGGCGCGGCGAGTGGTCACCAGCGGCGGCCCGGGACGCGGCTGAGACGAGAGCGGCCGAGGCCCAGCTGTCAGGGCACAGCGCGCCGGACAGCAGCTGCAGCGGGAGCGACCGGGCCGCGGGCCGCGCCGCCCTCCCGCGGCCGCCGGCCCCGCGCCTCA